GGGATCTTTTTAAAATGTACATTCTGACTCCAGAGGTCTGGAGAGGGCCCAAGATTTTGTATTTATTATAAACATGTTAGTTGGCATTGTTGCTATAGGTACTTGGACTGCATTTTGATCAGCAGGACTCTAGTATTCAAGGTTAGATTTCTAGACAATGACAGTAACATTTGTTAAGCATCTGTTATGTGTCAGGGGTTATTCCAGGGGCCCTAGCATATATTTCCTTTTTAAAAAGTCTTAAAAACTAAAAAAAAAATTAATTAAAAAAATTAAAAAATAAAAAAAAAAAAGGGCCGGGGATATAGCTCAGTGGTTTCGCCGCCGGCTGACAAGCGCAAGGACCCAAGTTCGATCCCCGGTCCAAAAAAAGAAAAAAAGAAAAAAGTCTTAAAAACTTATTAGCATGTGTTAATGGATACAGGCAATGTTGAGCAAGAATTTTTTGGTTAGAAAGTGGTTTCTGTGGCTGTAGACTCTTTTAAGATTTCATATTGGAGGGCTGAGGTCCCAGAGGAAGCTGTATAGTTGAAAAAAATAATGGAAACAAAATACCTCAATACTGGATCTCCAGTTCATAGTGGGACTTAAGGTCGTCATCTTCCTGCTGTGTGTCAGTGTGGCATCACCAGTTACAAGCCAAAGAGTAGGCCTACTATGGAGTGCACATATGTCTTGCAAATAATTTTCTCCCAGTATTTTCATTTTGTAACTGTGTTTTAACGAGCAAAATTTTGATGAAGTCCAATTTATTGATTTTTTTAAAATTTTAAGTTATTTTTAGAAGTTGTGCTAAAATATTCATAATACAACATTTACCATGTTAACCATTTTTAAGTTTATATTTTAGTGATGTTAAGTACTGGATTATTGTGGTCACCACCATTCATCTCTAGAACCTTTCCATCTTCCTCAGCTGAAATTCTGTATCTATTTGACACTAACTCTAAATTCCACCACATCTCCCAGGTTCTGACAACCACTATTCTACTTTCTCTCTCTAAATTTGATTATTCTAGGAAATGTTATGCAATGTTTGTTCTTTTGTGACTGGCATAATGTCTTCAGTGTTCTCCATGTTGTAGCATGTGTTAAGATTTACCTCATTTTAAGGCTGAATAATAGTTGTACATATATACCATACTTTATCCACTCATCCCTTGATGGGTACTTGGATTGCTTTCATCTTTGGGTATCATGAATAATGCTGCTGCGAGTGTGGATGTACAAATATCTGAGTCCCTGCTTTCTTTTTTTTTAATACCGGGGATCGAACTTGGGTCCTTGCGCTTACAGGGCAGGTGGCTCTGCTTTCACTTCTATTATCTGTTCACAAGTGAAATTGCTGGGTCCTGTGGGAATTCTGTGTTTGTTTTGAGGGACTGTTTTATCTTTTTCCACGATGTCCACACTATTTTACATTTTCATCAGTGTTGCACAAGGTCTCTACATCCTTGCCATGTTAGCTTTCTGTTACTGTAACACAATACTTGAGATAGTCAACTTAAAAAGAGGAAAAACTTATTCGGGCTTACAGTTTCAGAAGTTTCATCCCATGGTCATTTAGCCTTGTTACTGTTGGGCCTGTGGCCAGGTAGCATATCATGGTGGAGAGCATGTGGTAGAGCGAAGCGTCTCACCTTAAGGCAACTGGCAGATAAAAGAATGGAAGGAAGAAGGACCACAATCCCAAGAGCTCCTTCACGGGCGCATTGTCAGTGTCTTCACTTCCTTCCACAAGGCCCTACCTCTTAAAGTTTCCATCACCTCTCTATAACCCCACTGGCTGGGGACAAAGCTTTCACTACATGGGCCTTTGGGAGACTTTCCAGATCCAAACTGTAGCACTTGCAGACACTTTTTTTATTATTGTTATTAGTAAATAGCAGCCATCCTAACTGGTTGTAAATGAGAAATACAATTTGCATTGCTTTAGTGATTATTTGTTTATTGTCTTTGGAGAACTTTTGTTCACATCTTTCATTCATTTTAAAAATTGGTTTAGTTTTTTTGTTAATGTCAAGTTGGAGTTCTTTATATATTCTAAATATCAACCCCTTATCAGATATATGATTTGTAGATATTTCCTCTATTCTGTGGGTTGTCTTTTTGCTCTGTTGATTGTATTCTTTGTTGCACAAAAGTTTAATCTTGATGTTCAACTTATTTTTCTTTGATTTTCTGTTCTTTTGGTGTGCAAGAAATTATTCCAAAAGTCAGTTCCATGAAGCTTTGCTTTCTTCTAATAGCTTAATAGTTTTAGATCTTACGGTATTTGTTCCGTTTTGAGTTAATTTTTTATATGGTATAAAGTCCAAGTTCAAGGGTCCAACAATTGGGGGGGAGCATATGGATGTCCAGTTTTCCTAGTGCCATTTGATAAAAGACTGTCCTTTCCTGATTGAGTGGTCTAGGTGCTCTTGCTGAGTCATTTCATGCGATGGTTTATCTTCTGGGCTATTTTGACCCTTTGGTCTTTGTGTCTGTTTTTATCCTAGTACCATGTATAGGACTTTAGTTTTGTTTCTTTGGGTATTTTTTTTTTTTAGTACTTTAGTTTTAAAATGTGATTTAATGTGTTCAAAGTAATTCTGTGCAAATGAAGAATGATAGTTTTTTATAAAGCAAAAATTCAATAGATTGTAAACTCTAGTGCCAAGATTAAGACTTTGCAAACAGTAGGTGTTTGAGAATCCTAAATTTAAGGCCATAGGGAGTCTGAAAAGAACAGAAGGTCTTGGATTTAATCTTGGGATATTCACAGTTAAGAGACAATAAGAAACAGAAAAGGTATGGTAGAATTTTGAAAATTAAAAATTGTATATTTTTGTTTTATTTTCATTTTTACTCCCAGTGAGGAATAGGAGTTTCAAATATAGTAGCGGGATCCAAAAAAAAAAAAGATGAAAGCATTGGTTGTATTAGGGATAATGTGATATAAATCATCAACTTTTGAAAAGTTTTAAATGACAATATGAAATTCAAGCTAAGGTGATATTTTAAAAAGACATAACTGAGAGCAGAAGAAGGCAAGGTGTGAAAAGATGCCAGAGAGGCAGGGTACATGTGAAAGATTTTTTGGATGTTAAGAAGAAATGGGATTGGGTCGGGGATTTAGCTCAGTGGTTCTGCCACTTGCCTCAAAAGCACAAGGTCTCAAGTTTGATCCCTGGTACTAAAAAAAAAAAGAAGAAGAAAAGAAGAAATGGGATCAGAAGCAAGAGATGAGAGTTTGCTTCTTACACAAAATTATTCTTTTCTGTGGTAGAAGAAAAAGGAGTGAATGGAGAAGACATTCAGGAACAGGGATGCAAATAACCATGTAAGGGTGGCTACTATCCACCAGTCCTCCATCCAGATGAGGTTGAAAGGGTTGAAAGGTAAAGTGTATAGGAAATAATTGTTAAACTTTAGGGGAAGAATGTTAAGGTACGTGGAAAGGTCTAGTCTAGTTTGAAAAAGTTCTCAAATCCTTCCAAAATTTGGATAATATTCTCTCTGCTCCCTTTGAGAACCACTCATTTAAGTCACTTCTAGGTTCTTGTCCATAGAGAGTCAGCATACATAGATAAAATAATTTTTAAGGGTTTGAATGAACTTTAACTAGAATTTAGACTGTTTAGTCTGCACAGTAGCGATTACATGAGGGTGCAAATCCCCCCTTCTCAACGTGATTGTTTAGTAATAGGTGTTACTTCAATGATCTGTTTTATCTATATGTGTATGTTTAATCTATCCAGCAGAAACTTAAAACTAAAAATATCAACTGTAAAATCTGTCCTGTATCTTCAGGTCTGCACCAACAAAGTCAGTCAACTTCAGGGTTGAAAATATTTGGGGAGAATATGTTGCATCTGTGCTGCATAACTATAGAATTTTTTGTCCTTGTTCCCTAAAATATACAGTTTAAAGAGTAATTTATCTAGCATTTATACTATATTAGTTATTTTAAGTAATCTACAAATGATTCAAAGTTTAAGGGAGGATTTATATGTATACACTACATCATTTATATAATACTGAAGAATTGCTTTACAAAAATTCATTAGAGAAGTGACTCCAATAAAGCAGACCTTCACAATTTAAAATGTACTCACTTAAATAACATATAGAAACAAAATAAGCAGTAATATCACATTGTGTAAAAGGGAGATTACAGTATGAGCAATATTTTTCAGATTGTGGACTTCTAGCTCATTAATGGCTTGTGAAATGAGTTTAATGGTTCAGAACCGATGTGTTGTCTCCCCCCTACACACACACACATTTCTTTAATGGATTAAAATAGCATAGTCCTGGACCTCAATCCACAGTCCTGTACAGGACTCTTATTACTGCAGTGAAGTAAGGTTGTTTTGTGAAAACTTTTGTATATATGTATGTATATATGTGTCTGTATACTCAGTTGGATGGAAACTATATTTCTTACTGTGGGTTGCAGTCAAAAGTTGTGGAAATCAGCTGGGCATGATAGCATACGCCTGTTCCCAGCACTTAGGAGGCTAAGACAGGATTGTGTGTTCAAGCCTGGTTGGCGTTACATGCTGAATTCAAGGCCACCTAGACTACATAGTAAGACACTATCTCCAAAACAAAACACATACACACAAAAAAAACCCATGATGGGCTGGGCATGGTGGCACATGCCTGTAATCCTAGCACTTGGAAGGCTGAGGCAGGAGGATCGTCACAAATTCCAAGCTAACCTGGGCTACATAGTGAGTTCAAGGCCAGCCAGAAGTACTTAGCGAGACTCTGTTTCAAAACAACCAATCAAATAAACAAATCACGATGGAAATCTACTGTAAGATGTTTTAATAAGTAGATGTGGACATTATAAAGTCTTAAAAGCCTTTTAATTTCATCTCTCTATAGCATTCATTTATAAATTTGATTGATATCTCAACTACATATTTTGATGTGTATAAATAAGCATATATGTGTGTCTGTATATAGATATATGTATACCTATATATTTATATATTTCTTTTTCTTTTTAGGTGCGATGGATGAGCTTCATAGTCTGGATCCAAGAAGGCAAGAGTTATTGGAAGCTAGATTTACTGGAGTTGCAAGTGGGAGCACTGGAAGCACTGGTAGTTGCAGTGTTGGAGCTAAAGTGAGTACAAATTTAATCTTTATTTAATATTCTTTGTATTTATCTAAAATATATTTTGTAAAGGAATACACATATGCCTAAAAACAGATTATTTATAACTTTTATAATGTATAGAAAAAATAGTATTTATAAATAAACCTGATTTCCTCCCCCTGCCCTTCTTTCTTCGCGGTGCTGGAGATCAAACTTAGGACCTTGTGCATGGGTCCCAGTGGACTGCACCCCAACCCCCAGAAATGCTTTCAAGTACTCTTGTGATTAGATTAGGACCACCCAAACAGTCTCCCCAACTAAGTCCTTATCCTTAAACATATCTGCAAAGTCCCCTTTGCCACATAAAGGAACATAGCCATAATTTCTGGAGGTTGGTTATGTGGGCATCCTTAGGGATCCTTTACTGTATTTTGCCTACCATTACACCGTCATTCTTTCATTTCTTACTTTAATTTTTTTCTTCAGTTTTCTTGCATAGTTGGAAATAATTGATGAACAATGAAAAGTACCAGTGAAATAAGTCCCAATCTGATGCTATATAAAATATTTCAAAATACAGGAAAATATGATCAGTAAGATCCTATAATGTGTTTTAGATTTATGCAAAAGGGCCCAGTTTACATCTAGTAATTGTAAGATCAAATGAGTTTTATTTTAAAATAAATTTATTTTTGTTCTTTGGATGATTTTTAAGAAAGTGAAAGTTCTGAAATATCACTCTTTGTAAATATTGTAGTTAGGTCAGAAAATAAGCTTGAATTTTAAAATCAAGATCCAGAGACACTTCTATGCCTAAGGTACTTCTTTCCCACCTTTGGGCCACGAAGATAGCTATAGTTTATTTTATAGTTTTATAGTTTTACCATTTATATTTATATTTTGTAGTTTTACGATTATGCTTGCTCTTTAATCTGTCTATGGTCTACCTTTTATGAGTAGTCATTCTATTTTATTTTGTCTCCATCTGGTGAACCCATTTTCTCCACAGTGCTTCTTAAATTGCCCATATGTTTTCACTGATTTGTGAGACCACTGTTACCAGGTACGTTGTTTATGTACTTAGCATATATACCATTTGTTATATGATACATGTATATAATTGCCATGTATATATGAATATGGGTCTGGCTCTGTGTTTTTGTGCTAATATCACATTAAAAATACTGTCATTTTGGAATGTTTTATATGGTAGACCAAATTCTTTCCTCTTCAAAGGTCAACTTATTTATGGATTTTTATTCTCTCATATAAAATTCAAACATTTCATGTGTTTTGTTAGCATTTGGAAATTATTCTTCTTATAATAACTTGTTTATGTCTTCCTTTGAAAGATTCAAATGTAATTTTTCTTTTAAATGCATTGAATTTATAGATTAACTTGGGAAGTACTGACGTCTTTTTAAGATTAACTTGTCCCATTTAAGTACGTGAAGTATCTGCCCATTTATTCCATTCTTCCTGTAGAGTTCTTACTAATTTTTGGTTACTATTGGATTCTTTAAAATTTTTGCAGCTAATACATTTTTATTATTGTCTTGTTGGTTATTGCTAGCTTAGAATGCTTTTGACTTTTATAGTTTGGTTTTGTATCTAACAGTCTTGCTTTTGGTCTCTTATTGGTAATAGTTTGATTCTGTAAATTTCTCTTAAGAGAAATAATTATCTTCCAGAAATGATAGCTTTATCTCTTATGCTTTATGTTTCTTATGTTGGTAATGACCTTCAATATTGTCTTGTTCTTGCCCTAAAAGAGGAATCATCCAGAGTTTCTCCTGTGTAATGTTTGCTGCAGGTTTAGGGTGTGTAACCATCACCAAGTTAAAGAATGCCTATAAGAAGGTTTTTTTGTTTTGTTTTGTTTTGGGGTTTTTTGTTTGTTTGCTTGTTTTAAAAAGTCATAAATGGTGTTGAAGTTAAGAAAATTTTTTTGTTGGTTAAAAGAATCCTGAGGTTTTCTGTTTTGGATTATTAATTTGGTGATTTGTATTGATAGATATTTTAGAAAATGTTGACCTTTGTTTGCATTTGTGTGATAATGTTAATCATGACTATATATTTATCAGATTTAATACATTTCATAAATATATATGTGTATATGTATGTGTGTGTATATATATATGTATGTTTTAAGAGAAATAGATATACAGTCTGGAAGAGCATAGTTCAGTGACTTTTAACAAATGTGTATACTCTTGTAGTCTATATCCCTCTCAAGATACAGGACAGGTTCCTCACTGTCTTGTTTTATAAATCAGTTTCTTGGTAACCCTATAAAGTGAACTGGGCTTCATTTACTGTTTTCATATATATATGGAAATGCTCTTGAGAATATGAATAGACATTCACCTATAAAGCTATCAGCCTGGGATTTGTTGAGGAAGGAAGTTTTTTATTATCTGCTTTCTTTAGTATTTATTTCATTTCTTAATTTTATTTGAGCTTTTCAAGCTTACTAGTACGCATATAGTTATGATACTTTTTTAAACTCTTCTTTGTTGTTTCCTTTCTTCGTAGTGTCGTTTTCTATTTGTGTCAAAGTTCTGTTTAATGAATATTACAGAGAAAAAGATCTTTGTGTTAATCTGTTTCTCTGGGTTGCTCACACTTTCCCTTGAGATATGATATATATATGTACCAGTTCCCCACAGTGAATGTAGTCATTATGTAATGAAACAAATGCTAATAAAAAATAAAACTGAAAAAAATAAAATTCAGTTACAGTTCACTAGTGTCATTATTTGATACCAAGTTGTCACCTTTGAAATCTTTTATCATCCTCATTTTCAGACATAAGAAGTTGATTCTGGCTTACCTTGTACTTTTTCTGTAATGAATGTGAGCAAGCATTTCTCCAAAGGTTCCTGCTTTGTTTTACTGAAAAATGGCGCTTAGGAACCAAGATATGGGTGCAAGATAGGCTTGTTACATATTAACTTCTTAGAAGAATAACAGCCAATATAGAATCAGAAAAATCACCATTTAATATCCTCAGTGTAATTATTTGATTAAGGCAGATACCATCATTGGATGCTAAAACCATTTAGTAAAATGTTTTGGAGAACCATTTATTAACAAGTTCTAAATGTTTCACCTCATAGATTAGCTATTAATTACAAAAGAGAAAAATGTGTATTTAAAATGGAAACTATGGTCACCATTATAATAAAGTCAGACTTTTCATTGGCACTATTAGAGTCTAGCATGTGCTAAGGTGATTCAGTAGGAGGTATACAAATCATCAAATTAATGCTGCAAATGTTTAATTTGAAATTAGTCATGAGAAAATACCCTTTGGATATTCTCCTGGATAACTGGCCTGTACTCTTCAAAATATTCAGTGCCATGAAAAATAGAAGGAGATAATGGGACTGTTTTAGATTATATGAGAGTAGAGACACACCAGCCAAATGTAGTGTGTGGATCTGTGAATCTTGATGTGCTTCTGAATTGGGCGGGAAACAGTTGTAGAGGGCATCTTTGAGATAGTAAGGGAAATTGGAGTATGCGTGGATGTTGGAGGATGATATTAAGTTGGTATTTTAGTCTTTTTTGTCTTTTGAGTAAGTATAATTTTTAAAAATTAATATAGATTAAGTTACAGAATTAAGACAATGGTGAGTAATGACTCTTAATATATTAGTATTTAAATTTATAGTAATAGGGCCGGGGATTTAGCTCAGTGGTTCCGGCACCTGCTTTGCAAGCACAAGATCCCGAGTTTGATCCCTGGTACCAAAAAAAAAAAAAAATTGATAGTGATAAAGTAACTGTGAAATGAAGAATAATTGCGTAAGCAAATTTTAATAATGTTAAAATTGGGAATTTTAAAATGGAAATAAAAGCAGTCTTCAGGATCAGCTTTCTCTTTGATGTACTGGGAGAGACAGGTAGGGGGAAAGGTAAATTAAGGGTACAGAATGATCATTAAGATTTGATTTGTCTATAGAGAAAAAATAAAATCATATGTGTGCCAAAAGGAAGAAAATAAGCATAGAACTTTTAAATTACAGCAGTGGGTTGTTGAGGGTAGAATAAAATGAGACATATTCCAACAAAAGTAAAGAAAAGAGAAAGAAGAAACAAAATATTTTATTTTTGTTTCCTATTATATAAGATAGAAGAAATAAAGCATATATTACCACAAGAAATGAGAATCCATCTACAGACTGTTGGCAAGAAACAACTCTAAAAATTACATTTAGAGGGGATTTAGCTCAGTGGTTTCGCTGCCTGCTGCACAAGCGCAAGGATCCGAGTTTGATCCCCGGTACCAAAAAAAAAAAAAAAATTACAAGATTGGAAATACCAGGAAAGAAAATATTTCAGATAATCAGAAAGAAGAATAAAGTATAATTAAATATAACTTTATGATCAATTTTTCCTCAACTCAGAACCTTCCAAAGATTTCCAGTTGCATTTAAAATAAAATTTAGTATGTTCACTGTGCCCTACAGGGCCTTCTGATCTAGTTCTTACTAACTGTTAACAACTGCCCTTCTGCTGCGTCCACACTGGCTTATCTCCCGTGTGCTTCAAACATACTTCTCCTTTACTTCATTCACATTTCTGCTCAAATGTCACCTTTTCATGTTTTTTTTTTGTTTTTTTGGTACTGGGGATCAAACTCGGGACCTTGCACTTGCAAGGCAGGTGGAGGCACCACTGAGCTAAACCCCCAGCCCAAATGTCACCTTTTCAAAGAGGCTTTCTTTCACTGCCCAGTTTAGGATGTCTGTATCAGTCAACCCCTTTCTCTGCTTCATTTTTTTTTCTAGAACATATTCATACCTTACATAGTACTAAATGCTTATATATTTGTTCATTTTCTCCCTGCTTATAATAGACTTGGACTTGAATCTGTTTTTTCACTATTATATTCCAGGCCTCTGTAGTAGAACAAAGACCCTCAATAAATACTTTGGGATGCATGAGTGAATATCATAACATTCGTCCAAGCCACAAACATTGAATTATACAATGATAGGTATTTTTAAAGGACTAAAGAG